ATGTGAGCGATCTGCCGGCGCGCCAGCAGTGGACACTCTGGTGGAACCCACAACACCAACATTCAGCACCTTCTCGATCGCATCTGCCAGTGTTGTGTCAAATTCCATGACTATTTCATCTGTGATCTCCTGTTCACAAAGTAGTAAGTGTGAACGTGAAGAGGGGCTGCTCGGGATGGTTGCGGGACTTCGACTTCCGGCTGATTTTGGAGCTGTAATTTCATACCGCCGTCTCAATGTGAGCCGATGAATTGAAAAAGATTTCGTATCAGCAATCAAAGTGGTACAGACAGGAATCCATGAATCAGTTGAAGCCTCTTGAAGAATCTGGTCTTTCAGTTCGGGTGGTGTCGGTTCAGCTTGCATGGAACGTTTGATGTCGTCTGTCAAGTCTGCATACGGTTTTACGGCATGCAAGACGAAGTCTTCGTGATGCCGTCGAAGATATCCGCCAACGTTGACAGGGTCATCATTGCCAATGCGTGTCCCTTTCATCGGAATTGATCTGAGGCTGCAAACGGAGTCATCCCTGTCTCTATTGGAAGGTGTGTTCTTTAATCTAATCTTGGCGGGCTGCAGATGCTTTGAAGGTGTGGAATTAGAAAAGCTCATGAAGCCTGGCAGATCTAACTCGACATCAACAACGCCATCTTTGTCGTCTACGAACAGGCGCGGTGCTGTTGATAGAATCCTGTTGGCCTGGCGTTCAGGCGACATTGCATTTGATGAGACTAATGCAGCATCATTCCTCTTCAAGTCCTGCTTTGTGTGGTCTAGCTCGTCGACCATCATTTGAAGAGGATTGCGAATGCCGCTTCCGCTTGAAATCACCGAGGAGGTTGTGCGTTGATGCCGTTGTGCTGAGGAGGCTCCTTGTGACGCAGTTGTGACAATTCCACGATCACCAGGCGTAGCCGGCCTGTTGCTCCACATCTCGCTGATACCACTCACAAGCGAGCCCCATTTGCTCGAAACAGAGCTTGACCGGCGACGGCTCGAATTTGATTTATGGAGGACTTTTGCAAGATCCGCGCTAGCGATACTATCATTCGAATCAGATATTGCATGCTCAGGAAAGTAGCTATCCCGAATACTTGAAATATATGCTGTTGGTGTGGCAGGAGCATTGGGCACAACTGTGGAAGTAGCTCCCGCACCACTTCTTCGAGGCATGTTCTCGTCTTGAGGCATTGTTAAAATGCTGCTTTCCTGAATGAGAAACTTATTGGAGTCTTTTCTTATGAAATTCTTCCTCGGGCTCGACGTAATGGAAGTTGATGTACGACTGTCATGTGACGAGACGCTTGTGGACAGCCCAGATGCACCGACAGATTGCGAGGACGATCGAGGATTGTGCGCACTTGGCTTCGTCAGAGTTCGCATAGACGGTTCTCGATTGTAACGGATCGATGGAGACGACGATGACAGCAACGAGTTTAGCATGTCATCTTCTCCGAGCCTCTGAAGCACGTCAATTCCGCCACGACCAGGTAGGAAAGAAGCTAGAACGTATATCAACCGGCGAGCAAGACCTTTGTGCTCTGAGACGATGACTGTGCGGGACGCAAGAGTTTGAGCCTCTTGGGGTCTTCGGTGAGTGGCATGGAATTGCTTCCGATACCATTCAGGCGCAAGTCTCTCTAACCATTGTGTATGGTTTCCGAGAAAGGCAGTGAGAAGATTGAAGAGGAAGAAATTCTGCTGTCTGTTGCCACATATTCTGAATAACACCCGAGCTTCATCGATCCAATGCCCTGAAGTGAAGCCTAGACCTGTGACGACTCGAGGGATACGTATCGCATAGACTATTCGCCGCGACACATTTGTTGCGGCCAAGATTAGAGAAGAATTTCTGGCGACACTTTCCACATCGTGGATAGCCACCGTTCTCTGATTAATTCTCTGCATTGATTTTTCCTTGGGAGCCTTTTCGTATGACACGGCCATTTGTTTTATAACACTCTGCAGTTGATCGCTAATGATGCTAACGGCAACACTTTCAATCCTGGAAATGCTGCGAGTTATCACGTCCCAATTATTGACGACCTGGTCAACTCGGCGGTCGCCATCATCACTTAGGGCCTGTGAGGATGACAGGGATGCGGGGATTGCATCCAGAAATGTCCAGGATGACTGCATGTCTGAATCATAGGAGCTAGAAGCAGATAAGTTTTGGCCGTGAGTAGGACTGAAGGGAGGCCTAGCCTGCGAAGAGCGTGGCCTATGCATATGAAATGGTAGCTGCAGTACTATACCAATGGCGAAAGCTGGAACTTTTCGCTCTACAAGTTTTGGCGGCTTCCATGTAGTTTGCGGACCCTCCATAGGGTGCGAGCTCACCGGAACTGCGTCCTGCCCGCCAGCCGACACAGCAGTTCTGGTGTCAGCTACCTTCGAATCTTCATCAAGTGCGACATGAAAGAGACGTGTGATGAGTACAGAGTCACGGTTGTCATCATAGGTAGAAAGAGTTGGCTGCTGACCAGAAGTGAGTGCACGGCTCAACGGTGTTCTCTTTTGCTGTTCCGAATGGTCCAATGGTCTTCTTGCAAGACGCTCAGGGGCATTTGATTGCCTGGGGTTGGCAGGAATAATGTGCAACTTGGTGGAAGATGCTGTCTTGGTAGAACTCGGAGCACCAAACATGCACTCGAGATACGGGTCTCCTTTTGGTGTCAAGTCTCGGTTAGCCTTTGCCCAAGAGCTTTGACTGCCAGAGAAGGTCGAGCTCCTATTTCTGAAGTTTTCGGCTGCCCTCTCTTGAGTAGGACTTTGTGAAGCACGCCATATGTCAGGAAGATGTGTCCTCACTTCGGGTTGGTTTTTTCTAGATGCGGTACCTGCACCAGCATCAACCAGTCTCTTGTTATCAAACAACAGGGTAGGCCTCTCATCGCCCCCCACAGCATCCTGCGCTAGAAGCACGCGTACATCCTTCTCCTCAAGCTCGAGTCCGCCTTGGTCGTCAAAAGAGGTGGGTCTTTGTGATGGTGACCCAAATGGGGAAGGTGGTGGGGAGTTCGCGAGGTTGAAGACATGTTGAGATTGTCCAAACAAGAGGCTTCGTGTATGAGCATCATCTGTAACAGATTCGATATATTGGCTGCTTCTTTGGCCTGTGTTGCCTCGAAATAGACTTGCCAGCATGACGTGAAGGTAGTGAGAGAGAGCACGCTGCAGCCCAACCTTATGCACGTGCTGTACTACCTATCCAGTCGCGTAAGTCTTGGTGTTTCCACGTTAGCATCTCATAGCTTTTATTTGGTTTCTGGCAGAGAAAGAAGCTGGCATTCAGGTGGCTCCAAACCAGGAGACATGTCTGCAGAGAGTACCAGGTCTCTTGATGTCGTGAAGTGACCTGCCATTCTCAATTCCTGCAGTGACAGCACTCTCAACAATACGGAAATTGCGGTCAATGGTCTTGGCACTTGCCAGGGTCAAGTCCTCAGCCGGAAACCTCGGTCAACATCCGGCGCCGGCACTTGTCGGCACCGGATCCCAGGGCACCGAGGGCACTCCTCTACGCTTTACGGGTTGTCCTTGAAGGAAAGTTGTGTAATGAGCATCATCTACATCCATACATGAACATATTCGTACGAACTACAAGATCGATCAGTCGGCCGACTTTAATCTGACAATAAGAGCTGCTTGATGAGATATCGCAATAGCCAAGACTATCCATAGAAGGAATTGCTCAGGACAGCATACAGCACCTCGAGGCCTTGTCAAACGAAAAGGTGCCATTGCTTTGGCAATCAGAAAGGCCGCTAAGCACAGTCCGTGGTGTGGGTAGCGCGTAGGTGAAAACAAGTAAAAGTATGTTGCCATATGAAAACCAATGTCAACCACTAGGGAAGAAAGGGCAATAAACCCACTGGCGACTACACACAGGATGTTTCGGCAAGACACTTATGTCACTACAAGGCACCGTGATCGCTGAGCATCTGGAAATGTCTATCACTGAAGTGAATGTAGACCTGAAGGATATTTGGTTGGTAAAGTTTGCAAACTCTACGTACTGACTAATACAGCAGAGATACGTTGACAAAGATATTACAGGTCCTTTACCGTCGTGTCCGTTTCCAGATCACCTTCTGTAAGTCAACCATGATGAGACGTCATGCCGATCAGCCCGGCTGGTGACTTTTTCTTATGGATTGAAGCCTGGTTATCGTTTCACGATTCAGCGAGCTGGGCTGGCAAAAGGGATTTGTCAAGCACTTTGTGAGACGCATGACTAACAAACTTTAATGAGCCAGGATAAGGAGGAGGGATTGGTTGTAGACACTGGCATCCATCCCATGCACTTGTAAACGTTGAGTGGTGGTATATGTGAACAATGTAATGCAACCGCCGGGCACCAGGAATGAACAACAGTATAACGAGGGAGCTGCAGTTGCAATAGATCGTAATATTCATTCACGCTGTTTGAATACTTAGAATGCCTTGTATACCAAACTCTCAAAACCACTTACACCGTCCAAAGTTTCATTTCGACATCAGCAAGAGGGCATGTATGGAGCGCACATTCGACCAGGATGCCAAAAAATAAAAAGATCACGAAACTCCTTAGGAAAGGAGCAGACCAGGATTGAACTGATGACCTTCGGAAAGCTGCATAAACTGCAATCCGCTGCTCTACCACTGAGCTACCTGAATTTCGTTAGAAAGCTGATCTAGCATCTAGCTATCGCAGAAACTCACTGCTCCATGGGGGCTATCGAAAGCCCAGATTGAAGTTCAATTCGTGGCACATTTTCGGCTGAATTTTTGAGTTATTGTATTATTTACTTTCACATTCCTGCTTGGCGCTGAATTATTCCCTAGCGTCACGTCTGCCTTCAAAGTTCTATGCTTTTAAAAGGTATTTATTATAGTTTGCATTTCAAATGGTCTTGGCTTGTGCTGTTCAGAGAATCAAAAAATCGTCGCACAGTTGTTCACATCACTGACGTCTATCAAGTAAGACCTACAGACTTCAATCAGTTACTACAGTGGGAGCCTGGCGGACACGTCTCAAGCTAATCACGTGAGAGTTAATCAATACGTACAGTCGACAACTACGCGTTGTCGAGCTTCCTTCTTCTCACTTTAATCAACCGCCAAATTCCCTTTCATTGTCTTACCTTGAAGCAAGCTGCCGGCTTGATGGATCGCTGTCACCGGTCAATTCATTGACATCTCTTATCACGAACTTGTTGCTGCGCTGCTGTTCCGCAGCAATAAGACGATGAGATCGTCGTCCAGTCTAAGCTCTCGTGCAGAGGGCGCAGACCTTGACCCACCTCCATCTGATGATTCAACAAAGCCTGAAAATGCATGAAGGGACGGTAAGGAGCCTGTCCGCGATGACACGAGTACGAAGCAGTAGTGGATCTACAGTCCGAGCTATGACCTCGAATGATGAAAATATTTATGTGTCAGAAGAAGACAATATCGCAAAGTTCGAGCCTCTGAAAGCAACTGTCTCGATACACGACGATACCATCTCTCGGGAGAGCGTTCTCTTCAATGATTCTATTCTGATAAGATCTGGATTTGAAAGTGGTGATCTTGTCGAAATCAATCAGATGCTTGAGACCATAGAAGCCCGCGATTTCGGAAGCAAAGCTACAACAAACGATCAACATGCCGCCGAAAGCTCAACATATTCGTACTCCTGGAAGGCTTCACCCACGTATTTGTGTCTCATTAGGACCACTACACCTGATCAAGCTACCAAGTTGCATGACTTTGAAATTTCGATCAACAAACAAGTTGCTGCAACTTTCAACTTCACCTCCAGGTCACTCGTCTCGGTCAAACGAGCCAAAAAGCAAGAGTGGATTGCCTCACATGTCGAAGTGAGCTTTCGTGATGCCTACCTTTCTCGATCTGATATGTGGCGGTTAACCAGTCAAGAATTGGTAGGGAAAACAGTCCATATAGGTCAGAAGATATCGTTCTTCGGAAGCCTCAGGGCAACTATCAAGAAAATCCATGTCAGTGGTCGACATTCGCAGTTAGCTTACTTCGATACTTCAACGGTTCCGGTGTTTCGGAGTGAAGCTGCGCGCTATGTTATATTTATACAGATGTCATATGAGATGTGGGACTTTGACTCTGAAGGCAGCGGAGAGATCCTTTTCAATCGAGTTGTAAATGGCTTCCTGCCAGAGCTGTTCAAGAAGTGGTCAGAAATGGAAGTTCGCCATCTTGTAAGTATTGTCATGTTTGGTCGACTTGAGTATCGGCGTGCAGATGTGACGATGGAAGCATCAGCTTTCCTTTCATCTCCTTCACCTGCCTTCTCTGAAAGTCGTTCAGACAGCCACCAAGATTTCTACAGGGTCGTGGTTACAGACATGGCAAGCGCGCAATGGACTACCATTTTGGAGGTATTAAAGAAGGATTTCCGTGTCTTCCTTCGAGACGTGTCACTCTTCAAAGACGCGTACACTTCGGTGAACAGTGATCCTCGGGAGGAAGGCAGAGACTACCCTACCAGAATTACGGGTCGCCTTAGCGGAGCATCAAAGGGCAACATACTCGAGGCCATCAATTTAGCCGCGTCTCAATTCTCGAACGACTACATCGATCGTGATCTCATTCGGACAGGAATCTCGACTGTCATCGTGACAGCTGGAAGTGGTGTATTCACAGTGGATAAGGATCTACTCAAGTTGACATCTGAAACATTAACTAACAATGGGATTGGCATCGATATTGTATGTCTTTCTAAAATGCCCCTGCATTCAGTACCGCTCTTTCGCTATCGGCTTCCGCACTCGGGCAGTCATGACAATATTCATGAAATGCAGGCGTCTCCTAGTTCATCTTCACTGAACACGAATCCACATCCTTCTCTGCCTGATTTGAGTCATTCGCCAGCTTTCTCTGCTACCAAATCAAGCTTCAACTATTTCTCCCGTTTCCCTTCTGCCTTTCCTGCAAGGGTACCGCAAATTTTTGGGTATGGAATTCCACAGTGGATTGATTTGTCCTACTGGTCATCGGATATGGGATACAGCAAGCCCAAGCGTAGGAGCCGTCAGACAACCTCAAAAGGAGAGAAGTCCAAATCTAATAAGCTATTTGTTCCTCGAGTTAGAATGTACGAGTTACAAATGATGGGTCTGATGGAAATGGGGATGGCAGAAATTGTTGTGCCCTATCTGAACGAAAAGTCCATCGGCAAGAATGCAAGTTTGCGACGGTGGACTTCTCAAAGGGCGCGCTCGCAATATGGTCGAAGCCTTTCCCAATCGCCAGAGCTCAAGAGGAAAAGTCCGTACGCAATGTCGCGCCAACATGACAAATCCGAGATATGGCGCAATCAGCATGATTGTAGCAAAAGCTTTACGGATTTCATGGACGAATATGATGACTCAGCTTTCACATGTGACATTCCTAGGCCCAAGGCGAGAAGGAGCAGCAAGCACAGAGCTATGGATGAAGACATCCAAACGAGCCCTGCGATTGACGTGCCGAGAGCCAAAGCATCATTGCTCACCTTACAACAACCTCACGCCAGCCTGAAGAGTAGCGGTGATGTCGACAGTAGATCTGATACCGAAAGTATCATTTCAAATGCGTCCAAAACGATGAGGCCCCGTGCGCCCCGGAACATCAGCTACACGTTTCGGGGATTGGCACCATTAAAAGCATCAGCAGTAACCCCGGAGTTGCACGTGGTAAACATCGACGCCCATAAGAATTTAAATGCTGTTGGCTCATCTGATGACTGTGTGATGGACAATCTTGCTTCGAACACCACTGACTCGTTGCAGTTTTACGACCAAGCAAAACGTGAATATGGAAGTGTTTTGAGAGCCGGTAACAAGTGGCAGAAGGAAGAAGGCTCTAAGCCTATCAAGATCAGGCCTGCCGCTAGTACCATCACGACGGGCAAGCTTTTGAAAGACCAACTTTGGCAACAACGACGGCACCAACATGAACAGCAAAAGGACCATGGTAACGAAATAGACATTAATCTATCAGACTCGGACAGCAAAGTCACTGACGCGTCAGGCAGCCTTGACTCACTACCAAATTCCATACCTGACAGCACGATACCATTCGTGCGAAATGTTAATGCTTCCAACCCCTTAAAGCGAAAGTCTCACAGTGGAACCTTTGGACGTTGGCAGCACCTGTATCCCCGGAAACCAAAGGCTGCCACGGTAAAGTGGAAGTCACTGTGTACGCCAGCTTCTGTTCCTTTGACCACTGAGGACTTTCCTTCAAAAGCAGAGCTTGAGAGCAATTACGATGCGTTATGTCATGTTGTTCGGACAACTAAGCGCGACGAGTCTCAAGAGAGTCTACAGAACGAGACGCATGCACTTTTTCTGGAAATGATCTCTCTACGTGTTGCTCACGGCTACCAATTTGTGATCGGAAGCGCGCCATCTGCGACTTTTGAAGAAGAAGTCCTTGATTACTATGCAATGTTTGACCGCGACGTTCATAAGAAGGCTCGTCACGTGGTAGTGCTCACCATGGGCAACACTATCCAAAAGCTTGAATTGCACAGCTCGCTTTCTGTTCGAGTGACGAAATACTTGCAGAAACAAAGTGATAGCGACAAGTCCAGCTACTCCACCTTTGTCTATAATCCATGGGTGAGAACTATACTGGCAAATGATTACTTCCCCCGACCTTTGGTATTGAAAGGATTTACCGAGCAGTACTCCTGGGATATTGCAGATAACCATTTGGCCGGAGACATGAACGAATCCGGTGAACTCGTGGAGAAACTCCGGTACTGGCGAGCTCGGTTTGTTTTGATCCCTGTTGAACCACCCGCGAGCACTTGGAAGATGAATCAACCGGATGAGAATGAAGAGGAAATACACATCCTCGGCATTCGTGCTCTAACACAGTCATGGCAGAAGAATCGACATACCACGAGACAGGAGCGTAGTGTCATGGAAAATAGGACCGGCCCTATCAAGCATCAAGACATCAACCCTCTTGAGGTGAAGATGGAAACTCTGAATCCATCGGAGCTAGTTGCCATAGAGCTTGACCGACTGGCTCAAATCGAGGAAGGCAGTGAGACCGAGTCTACGCAATTGTTGCCAGAGCCACAGAAGTTCGACAAAGAAACGTCCATGTTACAGAAGCTGGCACTGGCAATGCAGGGTGAAAAGGGTATTGAGATCGAGAACCGACGATGGCATCTCCGACTATATTACAACTGTTTTCGTGGTGAAGAGTTCACGAATTGGCTAATGCACAACGTGAAGAACATGAACACTCGGGAGGATGCAGTTGAATTTGGAAATCAACTTATGAAGGAGAAACTATTTGAACACGTAAACGGTCGGCATCGCTTCAAAGATGGCCACTATTTTTACTCAATCAAACAAGAATACCGTGTCATGCGCCCGGATTTGCAGAAATCGTGGTTCCCGAGCAGTCGTCAGTCAAACAAGTCGATTCCTCCAACGCCAGCGTCTGAGCAGCCACCAAAAGAGCTATCCCCCATGACCGTGCGTACCAGATCCGGTTCAAACTTAGCTCACCAACTACATCCAACACCATCATCGGAGAGTAAGGCGCTCGGAGAGAAAAAACGTAAATCCGTGTCTCTATCGAGGATGATTCGAGTTGACGTCAGCACTAAAAAGAAATCTTTGCTCCCACGACCAGAAGTCGTTAATGTCCATT